TACACTTCACAGTGCAAAAACATAGAATAAAGCAACACAAGAACAAACAGCAGGTGCAGGAACTTCCACCACTCACTTCAGAAAGTTTTCCCCCAAGGCAAGGGGGACTCCAGGTTTTATATTTGCATCCATCTTCCATTTTGCTTAGAGCTCTGCAGGAGTCTGGAGGCGGGGGTGGGCATGGGGATGGAGGACAGAGGTGTCTTACACTATATACAGCTGCAGAATATCAAGCTATACTTTTTACGGTGACATTTTGCTGACAATGCAAACCTCAAGGGCAAAGCTCAAAAGGAAATTCTCAAAGAAGAAAGCAAAACCAAAAACTTTGCATGTAGACATTATCTTCATCAATGAGAGACAGCCAGCATGGGACCAAAGTGGGAGTTTGTGACATTGAGCTGCAAATGGCATAAAAAGACTGCAGTAAAACTACTAAAAGTTAAAGTCCGACTAAGGCTAGGATTCCCCAGGGCATTCTAAGCCTAATGTAGGCCTGGATGCAGTCCTCACATTAAAAAAAGAGAACTGAATGCAAGGTGATGTGGCAGTATCTGCTGCTTCTGTGGGGGAGAGGTATAAACCTCTAGAAGAGGCATCTGGGTCATGCTGCACCTGGGCTTCAGTTTCACTGGTTTCAGCACTGACCTGTGATGCCTTTGTGATTGTTTAATGCACAGAAGTGCCTTCCACTTCATCCTTCTTCCTTGCAGTGAGCTCTCCCAAGTCTGGAGACTTCACCACAAAGTCCATTCCTACAAGTATACCTTAAAAGATAGATAGGTGCAGCAAGGAAAAAGAATGAACAATGCTTAAACTGAAAATATATTCAGATCTTTAATATTTTATCTAGGAAAAGGAATGCTGTATGCAGCCAAGGGATGTGCATATAGTACAGGCAAAAGGTGTGAGAGGATGGCATGGCTAAAACATTACCACGGTTTCCTAACTTTGTTACTCTCTCTTTCAGGTAGAGAAGTGCATTTATATATAAACGTAACAATGAAAGTTCTTTGAAATTATATAACAATTTAGATCAAAGACTTTTAGAACCAAGGAGTTTCCTAACTCCTGTTCTCATATTCAGTTTATTAGGTTTTTTTATTCATCAGGTAGATGAAAACTATAATTAACAGATAATAACAAAAAAATTGCATGGGATGGAATCATAAGGAAATTCTCTTTTTTGCATATTGGCTGTTACAGCATATGGTTCACATAAATTTTCCCCAGAATATTTAAGCCCCTATTTTGCTATTGTAGAGAAGCCTTTCTCTAGATCTGTTTTCCATGATAGAAAAAGCATAGTCCATTTCAGGATTGTAAACATGTACTCTTTTTTTCAGATACCATAAAAGCCTCTTTCCAGAAAGTTGCAGTGCGCTGATTATTGCTTCACTACTTGAGTTTGAATAATCTCACTTGAGCAGGTGAAGCACAATCAACACAGAGCAGCTATTCTAGGGTTCAGCTAAAATCAGAAGAGCACAAAATAACCCAAAAATATCTCAAAGAGCTCAACATATTTATTAGGATTGAGATTTTGTTACGTTGGTTTGTTTGTAGAGAAGCTGTATGATACAGCTAGTCCAGTTTGACTGTACTTTGGAAAGAGATTTGCTAACAATTTTTCCCTCAAAGAAACACAAAAGTAAAAAAAAAAAAAACAACCCTAACTTGTTTAACTCTGCAAACATGTATGCTTCCTACTAAAATCTGCTCAGCTGAAGGCTTACAAATTAGTCTCTGGAGGCAAAAAGGGCCATAAAAAGAAAACAACTTTATTTGCTTTCCAATAGTAATAAGTCTAAGAACTTGTAGGGTTGTACAGAAGGCAATAAGCTATTGCCTGCACAATGAGGCCTCATTCTTAGAAACACAGGCTGCATCCAAAGCAGTGCAATACCTGCATTTCCAACCCTTTCTGGGATCCTAATATGAGCTCATTTACAGGTGAAATAATTGAATTGACAACTTTTTCTTTCCATATCATTATTTGACCAGTAATTAATGAGATTATGCAATTTAATACCAGATCCTGGTAAAACAGCACTGAATAACAGCAGTTTTCTAAACCTTAACGTCAGAAATTTATGAATAAATATATCTGAAAGCATGGGATGGTGCTTCTCCTAGTTCCTGCAAAATATATAACTAGTAGGAAATCTAGAGATAATTTACAGGAAGGAATTACAGGAGTGGATTATGTTTTATGTAAATCTAAATTTCAACTGGTGGTGAGACATGAACCTTATCCTAAGCAAAACAAGAATAAAGGACCTGAACTGGGGTAGGATATTATAATTTTCATTCTGTCTACATATTACCTTATTACTCAATATGGTAAAGTTCCTACTACAGAGAAAGAGGCAATATAAAGTATGTAGCTTTAATGTTTTGGGTAGAGGGTCAGGGTGCCACCACTGCTGACTGATTGATGATTCTTGTGATGCAAATTAACTGCCTCTGTCATTGTCCACCCTGTACTGATTGACAACAAGGCAGAGGACAGCTGAGACTGAGAATACACGAATTTTTTTCAACAGAGCAGCATTTATTCCTTGCGAATAGCTCCTCCACAAATGAGAATGAAGCACCCAGAGCTGAATCTCCTTTGAGTTCTGTGGAATGTTGGCTGTCAAGCAATGCCCCTGGCTTATAACTTTATATGCACAGACATACATGTCATCCCCCATTTCTTCAGAAAGGCTTGGTATCATGAGCAGGTGGAATAATTTTTTTGATACAATAGTGACTTTCTGCTACCACACTAGGAATAAGTACCATAGAGGATTATATCCAAAATCTAACTGCCAAGTTAAACAGACAGCTTGCCTACAACAATTTTTCCAAGTGACATTTATTGACTTAAGACAATCCACTAATCTTGCCACCTTTAGAGCAGATCCGGAAGCTCTGACCTGTTACTTCTAGACTAGAAAAGGCATCCGAAATTAACAATTGCAAACAGTTGCCTCAACCTGCACTCTTGACCTTCTAGATCATAGTGTTTTCATGTGCCACATCACGAAGCATAGAGCCCTCACTTCCCAGGAAACTAAAAGAACCCAACATGAGCAAGACAGAGCTCTCTGGGGGCTGGTCCTGTATGGCTGGCAGCATTCTGCCACGTAAGGAATTGGACCCTTTGTGGCTAAAATTTGCTTATAAATTCTTCAGGAAAAAGACAGCTTTCCTCTAAAAGGAAGCCTGCAACAAACTTCTCTGTTACTGTAAGACGATGATAGGTGGATTAGGTAGTAAACTAGAGAAAGAGATATGTCATCACCCATCAGCTGACTGCCTGTGAGCAAACAATGAATAACACTGGACAGTTAAGGTTTCAAGTACTTGAAAGTATCTGCAATGTAATGAATAGACATCTGGCAACAGTATCCTGTTCCAGTTAGTACATCATTTTGGTTAGCTAGAGTTCAGCTAACTGAGGTTGCACTATAAATGCATTATAAAGATTTTCCAATATGTAGTTTCTTTAACTCTGAAGGTCTTCAAGAATCTTAGATCGAATCCACCACTTTAAAAAAGAAAAAAAAGTGTAATGTAGTGAATCCAACCAACATACTAAATACATTAAAGCCTGAATTTTCCTGCCAAGGCTGACTGGTCCGGGAGGCGGAATGTGTGGTTCTCTAAGATGGCTACGAATAGATCCTCTCCCACCAGAGCTCAAAAAGCCAGCTGAGCTGGCCAGCAAAAATGTAAAGCAGTCATTAATCACAGCAGCCTGCACCTTCCCTCCACTTGCAAGCTCTGTGTACCAGAAGGAAGATGAATGGAGAGAGCACCAAAGACAAGCGAGTCTAGACTGCTCTTACGCACTTCCTGAATTATTGCTAGCTCAGAGGCGCTGTAACTAATTTGTAACTATTGACTTCCTCGTGTGATGCATTTCAACCAAAATCAACACACATGCAAAAGCACCCATCTCATTGGTTTGACTGAGATTTTATTTAATTACACGGAAAGAAAGCTAATTCCCTCCCCTCTCCCCAAGGAAAGTAAGGCAGAAAACGCAGGCTCAGAAGGACCATCAGCAGGGCTTCAGTCTGCCATCTTCAATACTGAAATCTAAACCTCCTCTTTCAGCTTCTGTTATGCAGACTTAAATACAAAGCCTGATGCTCTCATAGCATGACGTGCACATCTGGGAAATAAAACTGACCAACAAACTTGCCACACCATTTTTCCCTAATATGTATTGTCAATAAATACATGCTATTGGGACTATCTTTGTTTCTGACTGTTTTCTTCCTAGAGCAGCAAAACTTTCCCACCAGACTGCTCCTGCAGGAATTCCTCCTTTAGAAGTTTCACAACAGCCATGCAACTTGTCAATTCCCTTGGCCATCATTCTGGCAGTGACAAAATACCCAGTGTGGTACATCAGCCTCTGATTTACTGCCCCTCTAACCAGTTTGTCAGAAATTTGATGACCTTGAAAGGAGAGGCATTACACAGAAATTGATAGGACAAGGTGGTCTTCAATTTCCAGTGCAATATGGCACATTCCCTACTGAAAAAGGCCCTGGAAGATCTTGAACTACCAAGTTTTAAGACATCACTATTACAATGCACTTCAGAGACATTTGAAGACATCCTGAAAGATTTCAGCAATACATTTTCTATTCTAAAAACCTACAAAAGTGTCTTAAAAATTTCTTAAAACATTTCCATGATAGCTTTTCTTCCAGCTCAAAGGAAAAAAAGACAAACCCAAACACATGAAAGATTCAATACAGGACAACATATTATATTAACTTGTTAACGTTCTCTTCAGAAATTACACATTCATGCACTACTTATAAGAAACTTGTTCCATATTCGTGCTGATAAAAATCCTTACATCTAAGTGATTAAGTATCATGTTCTTGAGTAAACAGTAGATAAACATGTAGTTCAAATATAGATGTATATCAGTAATTAGATATATGCACACAGAATTTATTGGTGAACTACTTCAATTAGGACATCTGTAGTACCTTCTTTTTGCTGCAGTAAATCTGCCATTTCTTCTCGGGAGGGAGTGCAAACATAGCCTCTCTGTTCTTGTCTGTGAGATCCAATTCATCCTGGAGATTGTGAAAAACAGACAAAAAAAAACAGTCAGCAGCTGCATTGGTAACTTCTAGTAGGTTGAGAGGAATCTGGATCAGCTGTATTGACTAGCCCTCAGACAAAAGGCAGAGGACTTAGTGGACCCCAAAGACTCCAGATTATTGGTTTCATAATTTTTACCTTGCTACTGCAAGTTCTTCCTGTCAGAGCAGAAGCTATGAAGAGAGGCGGCCTGAACAACTCCAGTATCAAACTTCCATTACTAATGGTTAGTCAAGGATGGGAAAGAGCACATGAAAGACATGAAGTGAAAAACCCAAAGCACTGGCTCATGTGACACATTCACTCCTCATGACTCTTAGAGAAAATTCAAGACATCTTTTTCCTAGCCTGCTGTACCAGCTTGGTCTTCCATAGCAGGAGATCAGTGAAACCACTGTATCTTTTAAACAGAAGTCACAAGACACTTGTCTAGCGGCAGTAATGTCAACAGCAACCTACAGGTTGAAATGCTTGTCCAGGTGTCTGGCCTTTGAACCACAGTCCCCAGCAAAAGACAACCAGTGTTCCAGACAAAGGACGTACCTCCGCACAGTGTCATGTCAGGTTGAACAGACCCGTAAATTCAGTCTCTGCTAAGAAAAGCAAGTTCAGTGGAACACCCTCTTTCAGGGCCTAGCCAATCTTACATTTGTAAAATGAAGGATAATGCTATGATCTGGAACTGATTCCCAGATTCCCCACTTCCGTTTCTCTTCTGTAAAAGATGGATTACAATAGACTCTCTTCCTACGCAACGTGTCTCTAAAATCATCAAAGACTGCTACTTGCTCTGTGTTTACTCAGCACTGGCCAGAAAAGGGCTCCAATCACAGCTGTCTCAGTTTCAGGTGCTAATGGGAATTAAACAAATAAAAATTATCTTTGTAGCAAGCAGCCTGCTTGAGTAGGGACAGACAAAGATGTCTAAATGAGAGTTTCAGCAATATAAAGTCAAGCTTCCAGTAACGTTTCAATGATCAATTTTGGCAAGGTTTTCTTTTTCCTATATATTTGAAAGTGTTTGGAGCAGGAAGTGTCCAGGGATACAGTATCAAGATGACATTGCAGCATTATGAACACTGTTCATGCAGATTCTGGCACCAACGCTAAACTAGCCCAAGCAGAGACAATACCTCTTTAACTCAGCCCAACAATGGCTCATTTGGAAAGCATTCAGGGCTGGGAAACTTGTGAAAACAGTGAGCTAAATTGCACACTGAGCCTGGTAGCGGCTGCTGACAGATTTAAAAGCCCATAGAGATTTCAGCTGCAAAAAGGTACAAAAGAAATGCAAACAGTAACAAGGCGAGGTCAGTGCCAGCAGACGAAGGTAGAAGGAGCTTGAGGAGTTTTTTTGAACAAGAAAAGCTTAAAGGCAAAAAAAAACCCAAAAAATTTTAGCTGTGCAAAAAGAGTGCAAACCATGTGGAAATGTTTAGGGTGAGTTTCCAAACAAGGCAGCAGCCAAGCAAGGCAAAGAGTTTTATTCTTGCTACACACAATTAGAAAGCTCAGGCCAGGATCACATTCTTGGGGGGAGAGTGAGAGTGAAACGACATGTAAGGTCTTAAGACAAGTGAAGGAATGCTGTTGGAGGTCAAGCATGTGGGAGGGATAGGAGGGGCAGACAGGGAATCAGAAATGCCAGGTTTGGAAGAACCACCGAAGAGGCCAGAATACACATCTGATATGAGCTGGCTGGGCTCAGCTAAATACCTAGAAAAATTCTGATCGTTTTATTGAGCTACTTAATAATTTTAGCATTGGTTGGGGGGGAGGTGTTAGGTTTCTATTTCTTTTTTTTTTGGTCTTGTTTTGGGTTTGTTTCCCCACACCTCCCCACCCGTATTATTTTTTTAATACAGAGCAACTAACTGGGTTTTCTAATCCCTTCTGCTCTTTCTGAGTCTGGTGGCAGATCAGAGAAGCAGCAAAAGCTCTTCCCAGAAGCTGTACACAAAACCAAATAATGATTTCAACCAATATAGTCCAAGACAACCATTTCATCAACAGAACGCTCCTATTGACTAAAACCGCCCAGAGGGCAGGATGCTGACACTTAGTAGCTTCTAGCCACTGCCCTGGACACTGGCACCATCAGGGACACAAAGAACACTCTGCTTTCAATGAGGCAAGAAGAATCTCCAATTTCCAGTCATGTAATTCTGCATGCTGATAGCATGACATTCTTTCCAGAACAGAAGCCTGGAGAGGTAGTTTGAAAGGATGGGAGATCCAGTGAGGACTAAGTGCATCCACGAGCCACTTGAGTGTGGCTCAGGAGGGTAGATTAAGCCAAGAAGAACATTAAAAGTCACCACATCAGCTCAGGTAACAGAAGAACAAGGAAATTGCTCAGGGTTTCAGGCATAACCAGGTCCAGGTGGTCACCTGAGACACACCAAAACACACCTGGCTGGAAGATGGCACATGGAGGGTAAATTACTTTTGAAACAGCTAGTGTTTGTTAGGAGGCAAAATGCTAGGTTCTAGCCCCCAGGTCAAATGAGCAGGTAGCAAGCATGAATGTTCAACAGGGAGAGAGAAATCTGCTCCAGAATACAAAGCAGCAGTCAAGCTCTTCAGCACCTATTTCTGAAGTTAGTCTTCACTAAACATACTCCTTCACTGAGAGGAAGAAAGGAGTGGGAGAAACTAAAGAGGCCTACATAACCCCTCTACCTGTAACATTAATCAAATTCCACCCTATAAAGAATCAAGAAATCCCTGCAAAATACAAGAGACATGAACCCTCCTTCTAGAACCCTCCAAATCATTTTACCTCTCCCATTCCCCTCCCACAGACGATCTGAAGACCACTGTGACTGCACAGAAACCCCCTGGATCTAGCTATGAAAGAAGATCCTGGATCAGGCAAACCATTTTCCTATTCTGACTCAGGATTCTAACAGATGGCACATAAGGAAACTTGCTGCCTTGGAGGTAAACAGGAGGAGGAACAGAAAGAATAAATCTCAAAAGGGTGATCTGTCCATGGATGGGTCATTCTGACTAACGACAGAGGTAGATCTGTCACTGTGTAGAAATTCAGACCCCAGAGTTAGCTCAGTGACAGCAAACAGCTATTGAAGGAGAAAGGAATTGCAAGGGTTGGCAGGAAAGGGGAACTACAAGCTCTAAATGCAGCCATCAAGACTGAGGTTGGAGCCAGGCTAAGGAAGCCGATGTGACCGAATGCCCAGGGAGCAAAAACGTAAAGGGCGAGAAAAAAGGATCGGTCAGAACAAAGCGGGGAGAACACCCTCCTCCATCACCTGTGCCAGTTTCCAAACAGAAATGTAGTAACTCCTCTTCTGTATCTTGAATGGGCAGCTTGGTTCCAGCAATTCATGCCAGTATGATCCTGCACAATGGAGCTCAGCCTTTTGGCTCTAAAAAATACTTGAAGTTGTTCTCATGAAACACAGATTAAAAAGATATTTGCCAGGCTGGCCCGAGGGAGATGTAAAGTACCTCCAGTTAATATTCCTTACATTTCTCTCCTTTGTCTATTTCCTATTTTATTTACTGAGGGATACATTCAGTTAATTTCACTTTCATGTAGACTTCTCTTTTTTAACTTACACAGATTGAATTTCAATGATAAAACATTTAAAATGTGCTGGAGCAGGATTTGAGGTTCAAGTATTTCCAAGTCCAGTTCTCAGGCCAAAAGGGAAGGTGGCCTTCATTCAAAATGGCTACAGCCCAAGGAAATAACAGACAAAGAGAAAGAAAGAGAACAAGAGGGAGGAATGGGTAGGAAACGTAAAACTAGGATTTTGTGGGATTTAAAACCACATTATGTCCCCTGTCCTTGGGAACATTCATCAAAGTGTGAAACTTGGATTGTGATACTGGGTAGCCATCAGCTCAATAATGGTATCACTCAAAGCCCCAGAAGAGCTGAACAGAGAAGTACTTCTCACCTAGACTGGACAGAACTTTTCTTAGTGACATGAAATGAAATTAATATAGAGAAAAATTATTATTTTGGGAATGTAGAAGAGTGGATCATTTGGAGAGGGAACCACTAAAGGAGAACGTTTAATGCCTACCAACATGCCTGCCTCTCTAAATGAGAACCTTTAATTCCTGCCAAAATCTTTGTACTGAAATGTATACTGCATCTCTACCATTCAGTCACCTGTGGAAAGGTGGGACGGAGCCACAGGATAGCCGCTCTTTCACCAGTCTACTTTACCTGGCCTTGCAAGAAGACATATATAGTCCATAGGAATTTTGGAATTTAAATGAGGAAAACTTGGAATTTTTTGAAAGACAAACTTAGTAAAACACTTAAGAGACACAATGAGACTTCCTATTCTCAACATAACAAAACTGAAGTCACAGAAGACATAGGATGGAAACCTCAGCACTCTAAGTACACAGAGAGCATGAGGGCTTCCAGGCTCCAGCACCTCTTGGCTTCAAATCAGAATGCTGGACACCAAGAGCCCCAGACTTGTTTATCCAGAGATATTTGGACACCCACTGGATATTTCCTCAGTTCCAGTTTCTCATTCCACTTGTCCCAGCTCCACTGGCTGCTGGACTTCCTAGTTACCAGGGAGCTTCCCCCTGACTTAAGGTCAGGCAGCTGCTTCATTTTGTCAAAGGCAAAAAACAACAACCCTAAACAACCAATCAACAAACCTTCAGAGGCTGGTGGGCTTGGTTTGGGGGTTTTAATGAATCCTGCATAGCACTTCCAGTGTGATGAAGCACAGAATTCTGTCATATTTTGTTTACTGCAGGCAGTAACTTGATTAATATGGGCATAACATATCTTGCCAGGAGGGAGAGGAGATTTTGCTGATTTTCTTATGTTTAGTTGGATACCTGTCTTATTTCATCAATTTCTTATAATTTCAGTTACAGGTAGTTGAGTTACACTTTTATTTTCTTTCCACAGTCTCTTGTACTGAAAATGGTCTCGAAAGCACATCCTTTCTTGTAAGCATCAATCATA